CTAGAAGTTCAAGATCAAGGTGTCAGCAGGGTTGGTTCTTGCTGAGGCCTCTCTCCTTGGCTGGTAGATGGCCATTTTCTTGCTGTGTTCTCTTGTGGCAGTCCCTCTTTGCATGGGCACCCCTGGTGTCCCTCTGTGCGTCCGAATCTCCTTCTTATAAGAACACGAGTCAATTGTATTAGGGCCCACCCTAAAGACCTCATGCTAACTTACCTCTTTACGGCCCGTCTCCAGGCACACACATATTCTGAGGTACTGGGTAGGCATCAATGATTTTGGCTGGTTCAATTTAGTAAAGAGGGATGAATTGTAAAAACTTGGGAGAAAGTTCCTAAGTTTTGACATCTCAACATTACATTTAAAAATCTCTGAGAGTCAGGTTTAATCACCTGTACTACACTTCTTCCTGCCATAATTTCCCAACTTTTGTTGAGAGTTGAGAATTTTTAAAAAAGGAGATCATTGTCATACTTTCAATTTCCTCTAAAGTCTTGGGAAAAGAATAAGAGCAGCCAATTTATGACACAGGTGCCTTGGCAAGATGTGAAATATAAGGTCATTTAGCTTACAGAATAATTCACAGAGCTGCATTTCATTTAATTCTATGGACCATTAATTTCCCATCTCTACTGACAGTAATAAAGACCAAATGATATATTCAGAGTTTAAAACCAGAGTCATTCTCGGAATAGTAGAGGAATTTGTCTAAAACTCTTCATAAAATACCTTAATTTAGACTCTAATCATATTACAGTGGTTTTCTATATTAGCTTTCATGATATGTCTCATTAGAAAAAGGGTGATCATAGGACTTATCCTTTTAGGAAGTTAAAAAAATTTAAACCCTATTTCAAAAAAGAAATTGCTACCTTTATAGCAAGTCTTCAGACTGGAGTGGTAGATGTTCTAAATTCTATTGAGGAAAATAGTATAGAATTTAGCCAAGAAATCATAAAATATTTGTATATTATGACTTACTGTCAGAAACCTTGTTCTAGCTTTTTAGATCATTTTTTATGTACTTTTAGCTCTCATACAAAATTCCCTTCTTATAAAACTCAGTCATTAACTATCTGAAGTTCTGTAGTCTGAAAAAAACACTGAGTTCTGATTCTGTTTTCTCTTAATAAGATATAACTGAGGTTTATTAAATTTGTCAGTTTTAGAAACTTAAAGGAATTTGCAGGCAAATGCTTAACTTGAAAATTTGCCTAAAGACTTGACACGATATCTTTAAAGCACCCAGGGGTTGTCAGGTCTCATGAAGGTGATGTGGTTGCCTAATGCTTTTATATAATAGTACAGTCTTCCTGGCAGCAGCTAGTTGATAAGAGTCTTAAAGATTCTAGCAGCAACTTCCATTTTTAAATATATGATTAGCTCTTCCTAATTCAGCTTCTTACTAGAGATCCCTGAAGACAGGAAAAAGAGGAAAACTTGCAATAAATGTGGAAACTAGTATCTATCGTTAACCGATTTCTGTAATCTGAAATGAGTTTTTACTTACCATAAGGATAATGGAAATGGATTAAGAAATGCAATTATGCCAAAACCGGTTTGGCTCAGTGGATAGAGCGTCGGCCTGCGGACTGAAAGGTCCCAGGTTCGATTCCGGTCAAGGGCATGTACCTGGGTTTCGGGCACATCCCCAGTGGGAAATGTGCAGGAGGCAGCTGATCGATGTTTCTCTCTCATTGATGTTTCTAACTCTCTATCTCTCTCTCTTCCTCTCTGTGAAAAATCAATAAAATATAAAAAAATAAAATAAAAAAAAGAAATGCAATTACTAGCTTATTCTCCTGTGTGTGCCTGAAATTTTGGGAAAACCTTTTGCTTTTTTACTCATTTTTTTTTAACATCCGATACAGAAATGGGAATCTTCTGTTAACTCATCAATTCCACTTATAGAAATTACCTTTTACTAATCTTATATAATAAAAGCCTACTATGCAAATCGACCGAACGGAGGAACGACCAGCGGAATGACTGGTCGCACTGACTACCAGGGGGCAGATGCTCAACGCAGGAGCTGCCCCCAGCCCACAGGCCCCAGGCCAGCCAAGATGGGTGCCAGCAGGGGCCCCCTGATTACCCCGCCAGTCACCCTGTAGAGGGAGGCGACTGACGGCGGTGGCAGGGGGCAGGGCCAGTGAGCGGGTGAAGCCAGGCTGGCCAAGGCAGGTGCCAGCGGGGACCCCCTGATTGCCCCACCGGTTGCCCCACAGATTGGCCCTGATTGCTGGCCAGGCCTAGGGACCCTACCCGTGCATGAATTTTGTGCACCAGGCCTCTAGTGTCACATAACTATTCAAGTTTGTTAAGTATGAAGATGTTTATTGCATCTTTATAACAGGGAAAAGCTGGAAGCAATATAAATGTCCATCAGGAGAGATTAGTTAAAGTGGTTCATTATGTACTACATTGTACATAGTAAATATTGATATAATTCTGTATTCATTAAAGAAACATGACATATTAGTAAATAAAAAAGGCATGTTATATTATAAAAAAGGCATGTTATAAAACTTTATAGTTGGATCCCATTTATTTAAAATAATAGAAAAACACATATATATTAAATGTACATATAAAGTACATTTGTAATGGGGACGAGAATTGAGAGGAGAAGCAATAGGATATTTTTTACTTCTTGTTTTATATGTTGTATAGTACCTTTTTTTCTTTTAAACACACACACACACATATATATGTATGTGTATATATATATATATATATATATATATATATATATATAAAATGTATTTTTATTGATTTCAGAGAGGAAGGGAGAGGGAGAGAGAGATGGAAACATCAATGATGAGAGAGAATCATTGATCGGCTACCTCCTTTTACTGCTCTTTGGATCCTTACAACCGGTCTCAGATGAACAGACTCAAGCTAGTCTGTTGGATGATGAGAAACACGTGGCCTACCACCCTGGCCACCAGCCAGGCAACTGCTAGATATTTTATTGATTTCCGAGAGGGAGGGAGAGAGATAGAAACATCCATGATGAGAGAGAATCATGGATTGGCTGCCTCCTGCAAGTCCACCACTGGGGATCAAGCCCACAACCCAGGCATGTGCCCTTGACCGGAATTGAACCTGGGACCTTTCAGTTCGCAGGCCGACGCTCTATCTACTTACTGCGCCAAACCGGCTAGGGCCAAAATAATATTTTTTTAAAAATCATTCAGATATAATTTGTTTTTGGTTATATTGAAGAGTTAAATTTGAAAGCCAACACTTTATATCTTTACAAAGACTGTGTTATTGTATGGATGAATTGCTTTAACAAGATATTAAAAGCACTAAACATAAAGACTAAGAGTGACATGTTTGATAACTACTTATATCAGTAAAAATGAGAAGACAAGTCACAGACTGGGATAAGAAGTGTATCACACTGTAATCAGTGAATGTTTGTTGTTCCTTATAAAACAAATTACTTTGGCAGTATAGCTCTCACGAGATTTAGTTTACTTTATTATGAATACCTTGAGCTTATCAGAATTCCACAAGACAGCAAACTCCTTAGACTCTTTTCCTTGATCTATTTCGCCCCACTAAAAGAATATGTTTGAGGCCACTCTCCTATGTTTATTCACAGGCTTTCGTTTTTGCCCTGGGGCTGCGACACAGTCTTAAACTAGCATTTCTCAAATTGTCTTTTTATACTCCTGCGTTAGAAAGTGTTGAGTATTTCCGGTTCTGGAATGTGTGGCTTTTCTCTTTTCCTTCCCATCCGTGTTGGCCGCTGGTTCTTTTCTGAGTTCATCTCTCGTATTTTGTTAAGTACAACTAAGAGCATCCAGGGCTAGTAGCATACCATCTCTTGGCTTTTTCCTATAAATCCACAAGTTCATTAGTCACGTTATCTGCTTTCCAAGTTATTGCCAGAAATACAGTTCTGCCGCTGTGTTATATGTCATCATTTTTCCAGTCTCCAGTAACAGTTACTTGTGGCTCATTCCCAATGCCAGTCTCACATATGTGATGTTTTTGGTATGGCAGTAACCCACTCCTGGTTCCAGTTTCTCTATTGACTTTTCCTAAGTAAGGCCGCCGTAACTACTCCAAAACTGTAGTGCCTTACTGCAATAGAGGTTTATTTCTAGCTCCCATGTTGGCCACAAGTTGTATGAAATGTGTCTTGCTCTCTGTTCCAGGCAGAGGAGCAGCCCTTTCTTGGTCTTTGGTCAGAGGGAAAGGTGAAAATGCTGACCCATGGAATAGCTCTTAAATCTTCACGGATAGCGTGATTTGGCTCAGTGGATAGATCGTCGGCCTGCGGACTGAAAGGTCCCGGTTTCAATTTCGGTCAAGGGCATGTACCTTGGGTGTGGGCACATCCCCAGTGGGGGGTGTGCAAGAGGCAGCTGATCGATGTTTCTCTCTCATTGATGTTTCTAACTCTCTATTCCTCTCTCTTCCTCTCTGTAAAAAATATATTTTTAAAAAATCTTCTCAGATATGGTGTAGATAATTTACAATTATATTTCATTGCCCAAAGCAAGTTATATGGCAGTTCCAGTGTCTGCATAGTAGAGTATTTGTCTAAGGGAGGAACAATCAGGCCTAAAGACAGGGAGCGATCGTTTTACCTATAGGGAAGGGGTAGAATAGTTGAGAACAATACTACCTGCGCTTTCACTTCTAGAATCCCTAAAGCAGTGTTTTTGAAGGGCTGAATTCTTAGGTGGAGATAAACATTTGGAAGTTATCATTGTGTAAGTGAGTAAAATAAGATCACCCAGGAGAGGGAAGAGAGCAGTAGATACCTCATGGCGCACTAAGAATTAGCTGTCAGAAGCAGGGGAGAGAATAGGAAATAACGAGCTCTGGACCTTGTTATAGAGCATTTCTCCAAAAATTATAACATTTTAAAAAAAGTAAAGCCTGAATGTAAACGCTGTTAAAACTGTCCAGTTTGTCATCACAAGACTTAGTTTCCAAATAGCATGTATTTAAAATTAAAATGTGTGTATTTGTTCTTACAGAGATTTGCCACAATATGGGCAGAAGCAGTGGCAATCCTATTTTGGAAGAACTTTTGATGTTTACACCAAACTCTGGAAGTTCCAGCAGCAGCACCGGTAAAGGAATTTTATAGTTAAAGGAGAGTGAAACTCCATTTTATATTAATCACAGTTTTGACCTTTACTACCTTCTGCTTTTTATCTGGGTACATCTTAATATATTTTATCTTCATGACCCAAATGAAAAAATATCGATTTTTTAATGTTTATTTAAGATTTTAAAATGTAAGTTCTTAGGGTTTTTAAAGAAAATATTACATGGGAAATGGTTCAGATGAATTCTACCCTAGCATAGCTTGGCTGATTCATGATTTCATTCTTAAATAGGTATTGTTTATTGGCCAAAACTATTTGAGGGTGTTGCTTCTAATTTTCATGAACATAGCTCAAAGAAGTTCTATTTATGTTTCAAATTAAATGGACATTTAATAAATGCTTTTTGAATGTAATTGAATCATTATGTTTCAATCTCATGAAAAATTCATAAATCTGAATTCATGAATTTAAAATTTCATGCTGGATTGGGTATCATTTTATCCTATTAAGTTTACAGATTTGGTTATTTTTGAAATTTATAGTCTCTTATTTCTATTTTCTTATTTCCTATATAAAACAGACAAGTCTTGGATAATCGGTATGGCTTGAAGCGGTGGCAAATAGGGGAAATTGCTTCTAAGATTGGGCAGCTATACTACCATTATTAGTAAGTGAATTGTATATGGAAAAATCAAGCATTGACCTGATTTAAACACAGCATGCGGAAGTATGCATGGTATATTATTTGGTTGGAGGGAAAACTAAGGAGTTACAAATGAAAATCTTAGTAATTCAGATGATATTGGTCAAGACTACATTGTGAAATGACCTTCCATAATCAAAGTAACATTATTTGCTTCAATGGCTCACCTTCCAAACAGTTCATTTGGTCAGACTCATCTATAACTTAAAGGAGGAAGAGCTTGGTTTTAGGTATATGAATTTATAGTTTATAATGGCTTCACTTAAGTCTTGATACTATGCAGAGACATATCAAAACTTGCATGTTTGAATAAGTGGTTTTCAGGAGGATATTTTAAAGTTCATACCTGTAGGATATGTCTAAAAGTTTACATGATACTTCTGATTATATCCTTAGAGCAGCATCCACAGGGGCTGGCAAAAGTAGGTCTACAGTTGTACTTACTGAAAATAATACAATAATTAATAAATAATAATGCCAGAATAAAATCTGTGTTCCGTGTACTCACAACTATAAACCTACTTTTGTCCACCCCTATATGTAGTTCCACCCATGAGTCAGGGACAGAAGAGAACTTTTAGGACTCTAAATCTTATTATCACGAAGTAATACCAGGTATGCCATAAAAAGACTTGGCCCATTTGTAACTTACTAGGCCAGAAAAATTCCTTCCTCTTCCTGTCTTTTGGCATGGCACCCATAATTCCCACCATTAAAATCACTCTCTTGGGTAGAGTATTTTCTTAAGAAGTCATTTGTAAAACTAGACATGTGGTGTGTTTTGTATATTTTAATTATTTTTTTTAATTTTTTAAGTACAGTTTTCCTTCAGTATTGTATTGGTTTTAGGTATGCAGCATAGTGATTAGACAATCGTATACTTTACAGAGTGTTCCCCTGATATTTCCAGTACCCACTTGGCACCAGACATAGTTGCTACAATATTATTGACTATATTCCCTACGCTGTATTTTACATCCCGTGACTATTCTGTAACTACTAGTCCCTTCATTTCTTTCACCCAGTTCTCTAAACAAAGAGCCTAATTCATCAGCATCCTTTGACGATTAATATGGATTAATCCATTTCTGAAGTCCATGAGAAAAAAATGAAAGAAATTAGTCAAAGGATAAGTGACTATGAATGGATTTGAGGGAGGTCATGAAAGTTCTGGTCCTGGGGGGAAATGCTGTCTGGAGAGTCCCTGAGAAGAATGAGAAGAATGTGTACTTTGGGTTGCCATCCAAAAGGATTGGGAGCAGTGGGGAGGCATTTTAAAAAAATTATCATTATTATTATTTTTACACATTTTAAGGGTGATATGAATATTGCTTTGCTGATTCAAATTTAGGTCAGTCATTCCCATCCTCATGTACAGGAAATGAAGGAATAATGGAACAAGTATTGATCATAACGAAGAATTTGAGACACTGTCAAATTTAAAGATTTTTTTCTCTCATAGCTTACGCACATCTGAGACCAGCTATCTGAATGAGGCTTTCTCCTTCTATTCTGCAATCAGACAGAGATCATATTATTCTCAAGTCAATAAAGAAGACAGGTATGCACCTACTATATTTTAAAACACTTAATTTTTAGTTTGTGGGCAAATTATGCAGAAATGCACACATTTGTTTTTAACTTTTCTTCACTTCATGGGTTTTATGGAATGCCTAGTATGTAGCAGGCCTTCTTAAGCATGCAAAGATATGTTACCTAATAGCAATAAATATTACAGATGTTGTAACAGATGTCACAATACCAGCGGAGTCAGAGCACAAAGGAGGGGTGGATTACTTCTTTATGAGAGATTGGGATCACACAAAGTTTCATTGAAAAGAACTCCAGAGTGAGGCTTAGCTGATAATGTCAGGTCTTTTAATTCATATACATTCAAAAGCCTATTGACAGTTGTCATGTAGGACTAACGAAAAAGCACTCAGCTGTTTGAATTTTATTTTATAAACCCACTATTGTCAGGCAGTTGTTAGAAGGAAAAAACTTGGTGTAATTCATTAAATTCCCAACAGTAATCTATTGAGCACTTATACCTCTGGCAGTGTGGTCGGTGCTTGGGTGGGAAAAGAAAAGAAGGTGTACAGGTGTGCTCTTTCCCTTTCAGACAATTACCTTCTCATGGGGTTATAGACATCTTTGGGTCACAAGTAGATGGTGATGCTATTAATTCCAGAGGAGTGTGAACTGTGGGAGAAACCAGGGACCTGGCGCAGAATCTTCATTGCTAGTATTTCAAGAATTGTTAGAAGAGAAAGTTCAGGTCTAGAAGATGGGAATGTTCTCTCTACCTCCGGCAACGGAGCTCACAGCTGTTACAAGTGAAAAGATGATATTCTCTTAGTGCTAGAAGAAAACATAGTTTTGCCCTATCCGGTTTGGCTCAGTGGATAGAGCGTGGGCCTGTGGACTGAAGGGTCCCAGGCTGGATTCTGGCCAAGGGCACATGCCCAGGTTGCAGGCTCCATCCCCAGTGTGGGGCATGCAGGAGGCAGCCAATCAATGATTATCTTTCCTCATTTATGTTTCTATCTCTCTCTCCCTCTCCCTTCCTCTCTGAAATCAATAAAAATATATTTTAAAAGAAAACATAGTTTTGGCATGGCTTTCTAGAGAACACTTTGTGCTTGGCTCTTATGAGCTTTCCAGCTCTACGACGGCATTTTTTGGAAAGCCCCACTCTTGTAAATCCCCTTCATGCCCTTGCAAGTCTTGCTCAGACTCGTACAGAGGAGGTGATTTGATACAAGTGAGGTATGCCGATGCTGAGGTCTCTGTGTTATTGCCTTACTTCTTTCTTCTATCAGAAGTTCCATCGATTATTTTTTCTTCAGATTTTTTTTTACCATTTGCTTTGTGTATATTCAGTATAGATATATTTCCTACATCCCTCACCCCCTTTTTGCATTTATGTTGTACAATTTATCTGAATTCTTGGTGAGATAAATTGTATCTCTAAGAACATGCAAAAGGGCTATGTAATATTTTATCAGCAAAGAACTATTTTAAGCAATAGTAAAATACCTTGTATAATTCACTTTTCTAATTTGCCAAAAGGAAAATTGGCCTTAGGCCCGTTGGCTTAAAACCCAATAGTTTGATTTGTGGAAATCATTTTCCATCCTAAGAGCAGACACCACACATCAATTGTTTCCCTGTGCTGCCTCCTAGAGCAGGGCAGAGAACGGAGGTAGGATTATTTGGAACCAGGATGACTAAATCTCTTGCCATAAACACACTAAATTAGAATCAACGGACAACCCAAAATCTTGACCTTGTTTTCTGGAAGGACAGTTCAGATGGTACGTTGTTTGTTTCTTAGTTCACATAGGGCAGGAGGGCCAGTCAAGGTAGCGATTGGTGATAACTCCTAAAATCAACAGCCAGTAGATTAAAACAAGAAAGTATTCCACAATATCACAGTTGCTTTATAAGGCAAAAGTCTCTTCTCCAAGGGTCAAGTTCTCTCTGCACTCTCTCAATGCCTCAGCAATCTGTCAAAGCCAAGAGGAACGGACGTTCTAGCCCTCACCTCGATGACTGTTGTCATTAAGCATGACAACTCTCAACAATGTCTCTTTCCACGGGCCCATCCTGTTTAGTAAAGGGAGATGTTACCCCATAATCACTTGTCCTAGTTGCTGCAAACCCCAACTGTTGCAAATGGCTGAGGCTGACCCTGGTCAGAGTTAGATATGGAGAAGATAAAGCACGCAGAGGTCCTAACCTCTGTGCACTTTACTGCATTTAGCCACCAGGAAAAACAGTTTCTCTGGCAAGTGCGGAGAGTCGTGTCAATTCGTAAACACATTTCTAAATAACTCCTGGGTCTAAGAGAAAATTTTTAAGTTTTGTTATGGAAAATGTCAAACGTATACGAAAAATATACTGTTTTAAGGTTATTATATGTGCAATGTAGGATGTAGAAAGCAGGACGTGGACGTTGGGAATGTCAGGTCCACTTGATAAGGGATAAGTGTGAAGAGGTGCGGTATTGATCGTAAAAGCCTTTGGTAAGTTGAGGATGCATATTGCTACTCCTAGCAGCACTAAAAGAACAATAATGCAGAGGTAAGAGTAAGAAGCCAATAGAGGACAGTACACTAAAATATATTAAATTAACCGAAAAGAAAGCAAGAGGGGAGCAGTAAAGGGCATGATCACAGAAGGGACAAACCGAAAACAAACAAAGCAAGGTGGAGACGCAAACCCAGAGGACCTGGGTGTACGAGGCAGGGATTACCACGGTGGATGAAGAAGCAAGACCTAGCCACATGCTGTCTTTAAAGATGTGGTAAAATAAAAGGACAAAGGCACTGGAAAGCAGAGGAAAAGGAAAAGATACGGCCTGTCAGCACTAAGCACAAGGAAACAGGCTTGGTGATATTAATATAGAAAAGATAAGATTTCCAAACAAAGACTGTTCTTCCTGGAATGCTTTTCACCTTGTGTTTTTCTGCCTCATCTTCTCCGCTTCCTTATATATTGCCTTCTCTCAAACATTACTCTCTCTGGGAAGTTTACTCTCACCCAGGATCCAGTCCTGTGGGCTCAAATAGCACCCTTTATTTCTCGTGTCATTGTACTTACTCCACTATGTTTTGGTATTTATCTGTCTTCTCTATATTTTACATATTTTTCTCTCTGTAAGAGCTGAGGAGAAGGGACTGTGTCTGTAGTTCTGTGTGTGTGTGTGTGTTTTCACTTTGTTCCCAGCACTTAGCATAGTGCCAGATGCATCTAAGTTCTCAATAGATATTTGTGGAATGAATAAATTATGTAATGAATCAGTAAGAAATGTTAAGACTATAGGTTATATGCAGAAATATCTATAACTGCAGAATAGGGTCAAAACAGCGTATTTTATTTTTTAATCTAATGACTACTTTTCCATTTATCTACCACAGACCTGAGTTGGTAGTTAAGAAGCTACGATACTATGCAAGATTTATAGTAGTTTGTCTTCTTCTCAACAAAATGGATGTTGTAAAGGAACTGGTGAAGGTAAATGTACTTTAAAATATTTGAATATCTAATAGTGTATGGATAATTTTGTTTTTTAAAAATAGATTTGAGGTTAAAATAGTTTTTGGAATGTCTAAATCATTACAGCATTTAAAGTGTGGTAACTTCTGCCAAAGGCAATGATAAAAAATTTTTTTTCAACTCTCTTCGTATTTCAAACACGGACTGACCAGAGACCATTATCTTAATTCCTTGCTTTTGTCCCTTCAGCACATTTTACATTTCACCACCCACCCATGGATGGTCGGGAAATGCAGAAAAAAGTTAAAATATTTTGTTTAAAGGAAGATAGTTGAAAAGTTAGGTCAAGAAAAAGCACACAATGTTTGACAAAGGTATTGGGAAAGAGTTTGGTTTTTTCCCATTCCTTTAGTATTTCTGCATCACTGTCCTCCATTAACTCAGGCAGTTAAGCGTTAACAGCTTTTGGGATTCATTTACTATCTGTGATGATTGCATACATTCCAGCTGCACTCTGTATTCATTCACGGAGAAGTTTCAGTGGCATGCTTCTAATTTTTGGTACTCAAGTGGAACATGGTAGTTTTGACAAGTCTTCCTCTGTCTTCCTCCACTCCTAGTTACTATTAACTCTTTCCAGATAAAACCAGTATGCTATACTAGCAAATCCAAAGAAAATCAGCTAGATCGTATTAATTCTTTTAATGTTAAAAATTGGGGGGTTTACGTGTAAGAGTTTTCTATTAATAAAGTCATTTCTTGCCTGGCTGGTGTGGCTCAGTGGTTGAGCATTGACCCATGAACCAGCAGTTCACAAGTTAGGGCACATGCCTGGGTGTGGGCTCAATCCCCAGTGAGGGGCGTATAGGAGGCAGCTGATCAGTGATTCTCATCATTGATGTTTCTGTCTCTCTCTCCCTCTCCCTTCCTCTTTGAAATAAATAAAAACATTAAAAATAAAATAAATTTTAAAATAAAGTCATACCTTACTCAGTATGGGTCTCTTGGGATCTCTGAAGATCTTACTGATGTGTGTCATTCTGGAGTTTTTGATTTTGAGATAAATCCATGTAGTTTTTATTCTTTGTTTTTGGTTATAATTGAGACTGTATATTGATAATAAACTTCTTAACTATGTCAATTTCTCTCAGGAATATGGTACCTCATAGCTGTCTTTTTTTTTAATATTTTATTGATTTTTTACAGAGAAGAAGGGAGAGGGATAGAGAGAAACATCGATGAGAGAGATCGATCAGCTGCCTCCTGCACGCCCCCTACTGGGGATGTGCCTGCAACCAAGGTACATGCCCTTGACCGGAATCGAACCCGGGACCCCTCAGTCCGCAGGCCGACGCTCTATCCACTGAGCCAAACCGGTTCGGCTAAACTTCTTAACTATGTCAATTTCTCTCAGGAATATGGTACCTCATAGCTGTCTTTTTTTTTTTCTATACCCATTTTTTGTGTGATATGTTAAAATCAGGAATTGTCCGATGAAATTGAAGATTACACTCACCGCTTTAATACTGAAGATCAAGTGGAGTGGAACCTGGTGCTTCAAGAAGTCGCAGCTTTTATCGAGGTCAGTTTTTGACAAGAAAGGTTGCCATAGTTACGGATAAGTAAATTCCTATGTGGTATACATTTTTACTGTGTGTATATATCAAAAAGGAATAACTTACTAGACTGACATTTTGTCTTGGATATTCTCTCCAGGCAGACCCCGTAATGGTGTTGAATGATGATAATACCATTGTTATCACATCTAACCGCCTTGCTGAAACAGGAGCCCCACTGCTGGAACAGGGCATGATTGTGGGACAGCTGTCTCTGGCTGACGCGCTCATTATTGGTAATTGTAATAACCAGGTAAAGAATTGTGAAGGAAGTATGCCGAAAATCCACTTTGAAAAATAGTGCTTTTTATTATTACAGGGTTATTATTAATAACCCTGTTGTAAATATCCTAACATCCATTTGTGAGGAAATGGTTAAATAAATTATGCTGTGTCCATATATGGACTATGTTACAGACATTTAAGTGGTTTAGAAAGAATTTTTAATCACAAAAGAAGATACTCATGATATGGTAAGGGAAAAGAAGTTTGTTATGGAGCTAGTATGTAAACAAAATTACCCTGTGTGTTAAAACGTCTATATACATATATGCATAGGGAAAAGACCAAGGAGAAATTCACCAATATCATTAAAGGTTTACCTCTACCTCTGAATAGCAGAATTATAGATTCCTAAATTAGAATCTTTTAATTTAAATACAACGTTGTCTTTTCAAAGTAGAAAAAAGTATGCATCTTAAACATTGTAAAGTACCAAAATGTAATGGAGAGGTTATAAAATATGGGCCACTGCCATATTTCAGCCTCACTGTTTTGCCAAAAATTAGCAAGATTTTTATAGGGTCTAAAATAGGTCTCTATTTACATGACTACTTTTATTTGTTTCTAAAAGTACTTGAGGAAATTCATGGATTGATAGGTATATAGATAGATGGAGAGATATGTGATAAAGCAAATATAGAAAAATGTTAATGTTGTAGGATCTAGTTGATAAGCATATTGGTGTTACTGTATAATTCTTTCAGTCTTCTATCTTTTGAAATTTTTGATAATAAAATCCTGGAAAAGAAAATACCTAGTGTCATTAAGTACACATGAATGTCAAGATTAATAATATGATTAAAGACTTCAAAATATGCGTTCTGCATCAATGGTCAGGTTTGTGTTCCTTGCAGGTTAAGTTCAGTGAACTAACTGTTGACATGTTCCGGATGTTACAAGCCCTGGAAAGGGAGCCAATGAATTTAGCTTCCCAGATGAATAAGTCAGGAATGCAGGTACCTTCTCCCTACTTTCGCAATTTTGGTAACACTCTTACTGCTTCTGCTCTGCATGGAATGCTATTATCCAACAAATGCTTTGAGTGTGAATAAAGAGCTCCCTTGCCCTGGTGGGGTGGCTCAGTTGGTTGGAATGTTGTCCTGATGTACCAGGGTTACAGGCTTGATCCCAATCAGAGCTCATGCAAGAGTCAACCAATGGATAGGTGAAGCAACGGGTCGATGTTTCTCTCTCTCTCTCAAATCAATCAGTCAATAAATGTTTTTAGAAGAGCTCTCTTATCAGCACATGCCAAGCTGGTGAAAGGGCAATGCTGGCAGGAGCAGAGACCGGGCAGCCCTCAAATGCTGGCTCTGCTCCTGTCGGAGATGACTTTCCAAGTTGGCTCTTCAGACTCTGGCAGCACCAAGTTCTTTCTCTATCTCCTCTTTTTAGCCTTTGACTACCTCACCCCCTTCCCCCACTCCTGGATCTCAGAGAACCTTGACCTCATCTAGGAGGTGCCAGATGGATTCACGAAATACTTGCTAAGTTCTATTGCTGTCTTTGGTAGAAATGTAATATGCACAGAAGACATAGGAAAAGACATACTAGTTAATATGAAATATTATGGAACCAGAACAAACTTGCAACTTGCATGAAGGGCAGGCTTTACTTCGAAGTCCCATGAATAAAGGTCCCTGGGTCTCATATATGACTATGTGTAGGTCTGTGGTGGTAGATGTCGTTTTGTATTTTCCAGATTATGGGGGGAAGTGCATCAGGAAAAAAAAAAAGAGCTCTCTTGATGAAGAATAGGAGATATAGATAAGCATAATAATAGTAACAAAAATATATTTGATGAAGAGGATAGTAAAAATAGGCATTGATAATTCATCTGTCAAATACAGCTTGTATGGATATTATTTTCTGTGTGTAAATACAGGAATCAGCTGACAAGCCTACCAGGCGAGAAAATCCCCACAAGTACCTGCTCTACAAACCAACCTTCAGCCAACTGTACACATTCTTAGCAGCATCTTTTAAGGTATATTTGACCCAGTATTTTTACTACATGGGAAAAGGGTGCCCTGAATGGAATCTGAGAGTCACTCTTCTCTTTGAATATCTGAGTCAAGAATTTAAGTAAAGTATGAAATTGAAACTGCCTTTAGTGGTTCTCAACCTTCCTAATGCCGCGACCCTTTAATACAGTTCCTCATGTTGTGGTGACCCTCAACCATAAAATTATTTTTGTTGCTACTTCATAACTGTAATTTTGCTACTGTTATGAATCGTAATGTAAATATCTGATATGCAGGATGTATTTTCATTGTTCACGACCCACAGGTTGAGAACTGCTGCTTAGAATATCCTAATCATAGTTATTTTTAGAATGGAAATTGCTTACAGGCCGTGAATGCTTATTGCCATTACTTAATGAGACTATTGCTTAATTACTTTCCTTTCTCCAGGTTTTTATTACTAAACTACTGTAGGTATAAGAGTCAGTGCAGAACTTAAAAAATCCGGAGCAGGTTGCTCAGACCTGTTCAGAAATATTTTGGTCATTGAAAGAGCTATGAGGAGCAGGGAATTCCTCCCAAAGTTTAATAGTGAAAGCCATAGGTGGGAGTTTGTCTTTTAGACGTCTCTATAGTCAGGATATTTATTTCTCCATTTCAAGTTTTCCAGAGGACATTTTCTAAATGATGGGCGTTTTAAAGCAGAGGATGTCTTAAAAACGTTTGGCAGTCATTGTAGATTGTAGATTATCATGACTCTTGGCTGGGTAGACAGGAGTTGGAACCAGCAAGAGTGGCTCTTCTCTTGGAGAAGACAGTAGTATGTCAGAGTAGGTGCTTGTTTTCCCCACACCTTTGAAGTGTCATGAGCTTTAAATGAAACTGTTGTTTTCCCTGTTTGTTGTTTTGTATATGTGATTTTTTAAATTTCAGGAGCTGCCTGCCAATAGCGTACTTCTGATTTACCTGTCAGCCACTGGCGTTTTCCCAACAGGTCGTTCTGATAGTGAAGGTACAATAAAGGAATGCTCCTGTGTGAGCCGGGCTTGAATTCTCTTTATTTTCTACAAGACGATGGCCTGTAGCCCACAGACCATCTCCAGCTTTCTAGAGAGGCTTCTAAATTGGAAACCTGGTCTATTTGTTGAATTGGCAATGTTATAGATACCTCAGTCTATTTTATTTGCTGAAATATTATACATTGAACTCCACAAATCATCAGCAAATTCACATACTAAGTGTGTGTGCCGCACTATCAGATGTGCCAGAAGCACACACGCGTATGAAACAACGAAGCCAAGTGATCTACGTCACATCATTAAAATTTTCTGAGCCTTCAGTGCTTTAGGGAACCTGGTCAGCGGCTTCATGTGGCTGAAAGTCTTTGTAGAAATCAGTACACTTTTGTAACTGTGAAAGTTCAAGTCCTTGTCATGATTTTGTTTTCTGTCCTTTCTTTATTTGGTTTTTATGGATTCAACCTATAGAATATTGGGATGCTGTTTCAGAATAAAAACTTAAAACTGTCCAGAATAAATGAGTCCAGAATATATGAAATTGGTCAGAATAGGTGAGTAACTGGGATGTAAATGAGGCATTTAAATCTCTGTCTGGACAAAAAAAAATTTTTTCCCTTAACATCCTTAACATTTTCCTCCTCATGTTTGTTGAAATTTGCATTCCTTTATACAATGCATGTCCCTGCCATCTTCCTTGCATGACCTACAGATCCTCTTAATGTGGTAAAATGAAAACAAAACAAAATAAACCTCAAAGCCTTTTCATTGCAGTGCTTTTTTAAGGGATAAAATATAACAGCATTAAATGTGGTGTGAAGTCATAAACTAATTTCTTGTAGTAAAGTTTATTTTATTTATAAATAATTATTTTTATTTTTCTACTGTTGAATCAGATTTTCTGGGCCCCTGCTTAATATATTGACCCCATTTTACTTTGTTCAAAGTACATTAGTACTGCAATAGGCACTAATTGAGTAATCCTTTGAGAGAAATTATTCTTAACACCCTCGGTTGCTGTGCCATTTAGACAGGAGTTTAACTAACTGATATAACCAGTGGGCAAAGGCTAACTTCAAAACTGGTTGGTATAATAGTGATAATGGATTTTTCCACACACTGAAACTTAATTATTTTCTTAAAAATAAAGATTTTTTCAATGAGAATTTTCAAGTTTTATTCCACATTTTTTTCTAAATTTTACAATTAATGGCTTAGTTACACTTCTATTTAAGAAATTATTAGGACATCAGTCTGCAGTTTTTCACATAAATAGTTTTGTTAAACCTGAGGTTTTAATTTTGCTTGAAATGTAAAGATCATTTTGAGCATCTCAGATCTGCATCACTTTTATTGCCCGGAATAATGGGGTGCCGTGGATTCTTGTTTTGTTTCTCATTATATTCTGTTTGAAGAACTGATGAGTAATTAAATGATTTTTTTAAATGTTGAAGTAGGCAACATGCTGAAATCATTTAAATACTGTATTAAAGGAGAATGTTAAATTTTAAAATAATTAAAATGTTTTGTAATTATCTTCCACTTGTATCAGGGAGAGATTCACATAATACCTTTGAACATCAGAATCATGTTACTCTCTGATTGAAGTCTAGGATTCTTCCCTTTGTTTTCATAGGTCCTTATGATTTTGGAGGGGTTCTTACTAATAGTAACCGGGATATTATAAATGGAGATGCCATGCACAAACGCAATCAATCCCACAAAGAAATGCACTGGTATGTATTCTAGTGTCTACCTATTATAAAAATTGTAGTTCTCTCCTATGAAATATTAAGTGAAATGGGGACTTTTCTGGTACTAGAAATGTTCTCTTAGGCTGCTGTTAATAACACTTATTTGGATTCTAGCAATACTTCCATCTTGACTATCCTAGGAAATTAGAATTTTGGGCTGATACATATATATTTTAAATTTTTCATTGAGTATCAGTTATACGTCAGGCACTGTTCACACACACACACACACACACACACACACACACACACATTGTCCACTAAGCTAGAAAGAGCATACACACCAAGATTGTGATCTTCTTAGGCAGTGCGGCTCTCAAATTCTTGTTACTGGACTTTTAGCCTTTGGATCTAGTAGATCTTCTATGGGCCAGTGAATCTAGATGTTTAAGAAGCACCCAACTGATTCTGATGCAGTATCCAGAGAAAACATAAAGAATAGTAAAGGGAAGCCCCTATTATTTTCTGAAATATTAAGATATAGCTTGAAAATAGGTATAGATTTTGAAAAACTCATTGAAATACAAATCTGGTTGTGTTTTACATGTTTGTCTTAAAAATATGTTTTTAAATGGGCTTTTATATATTAAAGTACCTAAATGCTGACTTCTGAGATTTTCACATTGTATGTTTAGATATTCTTGTGAAATAATTATCTCTGAATTTTTTTCCAAATAAAACTTAATACAGAGATTTTTTTTGTCTTTTGCTTAATTAATCTTTGTTTTTCTCCCGTGCTACGATGAAAAGGAGACGTGAGCAGACCAAACTGGAGAAGAAAGATTCTAAGACTTGGCGGTATAGTTACTCAGTTATTTATCATTATTATTGTTTTCCCAGCCTCCATCCTGGAGATCTCTACCCCTTCACGAGGAAGCCCCTGTTTATCATCGTGGATTCATCCAATAGTGTCGCATATAAGGTGAGTTCCATGAGCGCCAGGGCACGTGTTAGACATTATGGCAGCACCCCGAGGTCACCAGTCTTAACATGTGCCTTTTTATTTTGCTTTATTTTATTTCATTTTACACAGTTTGTATTTAGTCTTTCTTTTCTTTTGAGGTTGTGCATGCTAGTCAGGATCTGGTGCTATGAATAGAAACAAGAAGAAAACGCATGAATGGACACTCAGTGGAAAATAATAAATCCTCCTGCAGGAAAAAAAATTCAAGATTCCCAAGATCTCTGGTGGAAGGTTGACTTTTGTTGTATAACCCAGAATAATTTTCTTTTATAGAGGTAGAAGTATGTGGGCACATTTTATTTTCTAGTTTTGAGACCTTTTCCCCATCTACGCACTTGAGCTGCTATGGTTTAAGTGCCATGTCTTACAGTTACAGCCATTGAATATCAAAATAGTTTTACATGCACTTATTTAAAAAACTGTGAAAAATAAGTAAAATGCTGAAATAAGTGACAAGGATATAACTTGAAAATCCTTTGTTTTGTATTTTGCTATTGAAGCAATGTTTTTCAGTGATTATATAAAGAACAGCAGCAAAACACTTTAAAGTAGGATAGTAGATTTCAAACTATAGTCATTTACAGGAAAATAAAAACAGAATTTTTGGAGTCCTTTGTATGTGGTTGGAATATTTCATTAGTGAACAATATGTTCAGAAATATGCTTGGATCTGCATATTAAAACTGCCAATTAAAACTATTTTTATTGTGGATGTTCATATAATTAGATGGAGAAGCAACCATTGGTAGGTTTATTTCAGGAGAGCAGTAGAAGTGTCTGGTAGCCAAGGGAGCTGACCTCAAACATATATTTTTCATCTAATTTTTATGTTTAGTTTCACTTTTTAAAGTCTGAATTCCAAGAGCAGCCAACCTACCCTAAACTTTTCAGCATATTGCCTGAAAAGTCAAGTTTACAACTTTGATTTTGGGGAAAACTAGCTGACACTTTTCTTAAATCTGGTGTGTGTTGTTGTTTTTAATCTTTTTGAAGGGGTGAGAGGTTGCTGAAGGAAAAGTTTATTAGCTATCCCTTTTAAACTTATAAAACCAGCGGAGTCCAGGCATTGGTGTCTTCACAGAATTCCCAAGAAGCATCTGTGTCTTTGTCAAAGGAATTGTTTGCTACAGTTTAAAGATGTGACAGGATATGTTGAATGTACCCAGTCAAATGTATTGTGTATATGCTCCAGCATGCATTGGGAGTGTTTTAGCAACCTAGTAACGTCTCTCAACCTACCTGGATATTATTTGATAGCACCTTTTATAATGTCAAAATACCTTTCATGATATGTGCCAGCTGTTTCCACAGTGCACAGAATGATGCTCCAACCAGCTGAGCCACACCAGCCAGGACTATCAGTGATCGCTTTAAAAGTTCTCCGTGCTGTCTGTTTCCTCCAGGCTGACATGTTTCTGTTTGTTTTGCCTGCATATATCATATTAGAGACTTTCCTCAGAGTATTGTAATTTTTGCCTTTCTGCTCAGATTTAAGAGTGGAAGCTAGGAAAATAGAATCTCTGAGGTGGTGAATAGGGCTTGTCATGCTGAGCTGCGCAGTCTAGTTGGGCCAGTTAGTTGGTTAGTCTCTGATGTGTCTTTAGGTCTGTCTTCATGGCCTCGTTATATTCCCCAGAGCAGACTCTACTATTCTGCCTGGAATGTAAAGGTTTGATTATCAGCACTAGGCTATGTTTTCCCTCAAGTCTCTGTGTATGTGTTTATATGTGTATATACATGTATCTTTATGTCCCGAGGCCTCACACCTAAAGGTTCTTAGTAAATATATATTGAATGCTTAGGTGAAGATAGGTACTATTATCCTTATAGTTGAGGAAACTTATAGGAGATGAACTAACCTGCCTAACTGATCCCAGCAGTTTTTGTCATTCCAAAACCCCAGCTCTTTGCACTTTGGAAAAGAGGAGCTTTGCACGCTCATCTGAGCCTTATTGCAGAGGAGAGTGACGGAAATGCCAAGATCTGTGTAACATCTGGCCCACGTTGTGGCTCTCAGATTTCCACTAGAGAAGAGGCAAGTAGAAGTGGCCTTGTCTGTACTAAGGTAGTACTAGTGGGAGTGAAAAAAACCGCATGGTCATTCTGAGCATTTCTTTTAGTTCTGCCTTCTTTTTTTTGAAAGAACAACCTTTGAGTGTTTTAGTAATTATGACAAGGCTGGATCCCTGCCAGTGAACATGAATTCCTCATTTGTCAGACAGTCATGTTTATCTAAACAGCCTTATCCTCGTTGACTGATGGCTGCAGGTTGCTGCAGTCTATTAAGGCAGTCACTCTCCTAGCAAGATTGTGAAAGCTCTTCTGCCAGTCAGCCTCACACACTCTGTTTCTTTCCTGCTCCTTTGAAAGTTTTTGGCATTCTGTAGTTACACTGTGAGTTCTAGGTTTTGTTTCTTTAGAGTTACTCTATTGGGACTTGTTAGACTTCTTGAATGGGAAGGTTGGGGTTTTTCAAAAATGCTGGAAAATTCTCAGTCATTGTCTCCTCAAACACTGGCTGTACCCCAACTTTTCTCTCATCTCCTTCTGGAACTTTGATTATATACATACTAGAGGCCCGATGCATGAAATTCGTGTGTGTGTGGGGGTTGTCTCAGCCCGGCCGGGCCCTCTCACAATCTGGGACCCCTTGGGGGGATGTCTGACTGCCGGTTTAGGCCCAGACAGACAACGGGCCTAAACCGGCAGTCGAACATTCCTCTCACAATCTGGGACCCCTTGCTCCTAACCACCCTCCTGCTCGCTCCTTACCACTTGGCTTGCCACTCCTTAATGCTGCCATGGAGGCAGGAGAGGCTCCTGCCAACACTGCTGCACTTGCCAGCTGTGAGTCCGGCTTCTGATGGAGCGGTGCTCCAGCTGTGGGAGCGCACTGACCACCAGCGGGCAGCTCCTGCATTGAGCATCTGCCCCTGGTGGTCAGTGTGTGTCATAGCAGCTGGTCATTCTGGTTGTTCTGCTGTAACAGTCGCTGGGCTTTTATTATATAGACTAGTACATAGCATTCTCACTGTCTTCTACATCTCTTAACTTCTATATTGTCCAACTATTTTTTCTGTGTTTGAGATTTGGATAATTTCTTCTGAGCTATCTTGCAATTTACAAATTCTTTCTTCAGCAGTGACTAACTTGCTATTAAACCCATATGAGTTATATGTTGGTTGTGGTTATTTTCATTTCTAGAAGTTCTCTGGTTCTTGGCTCCTGGGTCTAAGCATATAGTCATACTCACATCAGTGTATGTATTACAGTAAAGGGATACAGAGCAAAATTAGCAAAGGAAAAAGGTCCATAGGATGAAGTCCAGAGCAAAATAGGCTCAAACTTCCAAGAGTTTTCTCCCACGGTCACACAGGATGTCCCTACTTCCCCAGCAACGAGTTGAGACAACACGGCTGAAGTGTCTACCAGGGCAGCTCCTGAGGGACTTGTTGCCCAGGATGTTTACTGGAGAGTGATCACACCAAATGCCAATCTCCCAGAAAGAAAGCAGGGGTTCAACATAAACCATCTTGTTTGCACAGTCTGGGTAAAGTGAGCCATTCTTATCGGTTCTGCTAATGGTGGCAACTCACCCAAATCTAAGTTTCCAGAAGCCAGCCAAGGGCCGAACCTTGTAAGCAGGCCTTTCAAAGGATAACAGTCAGGTTTGTTATGCTAACCCTAACTCTTTTTACACAGTTTTTAAAAAAATCAGATGAGAAGTTGATCAGCAAGGGAAGCAAAGAAAAAGGAAGCCTTGGGTCATAAGTAGCGGCAGTGTTCCTTTTGGCACTAGCCAAGAGCAAGAGCCTCACGGCCAAGGATGCAGAGGCCGCCCGCAGTGTGGGAGAGTGCCCATGCTGCCTTATCTGAAGGGTGCGCCTTAATATCATTCAACTTACTCCCTTTGTTTTGATTACAAGAAATTTCTCATTTATTTATTTTTATTTTATTTTTTTTTATATATATTTTATTGATTTTTTTACAGAGAGGAAGGGAGAGAGATAGAGAGTTAGAAACATCGATGAGAGAGAAACATCGATCAGCTGCCTCCTGCACATCTCCCACTGGGGATGTGCCCGCAACACAGGTACATGCCCCTGACCGGAATCGAACCCGGGACCCTTCAGTCCGCAGGCCGACGCTCCATCCACTGAGCCAAACCGGTTCCGGCTTCTCATTTATTTTAACTATTTGTTTAAGTGTTTGTATTGATATTTACAAAGTCATAAAATCAAAAGGCATATAGTGAAATCTCTTCATCCCTCCCAGACCCAGTTCACTCAGTTGCTGGCTCTCCCTATAAGTGATCACTGTTGTCTGTTTCTTATTTATCCTTCTAGAAAAAAAATTTAAATGCGTATATAAGCCAAAACACATACATAGCCTTTAGTCTTCTTTGCTGTATAAATGGTAGTAACATGACATACACAACTGCTCTATCTTACTTTTTTTCACTACTAAGAAATGTTGGAGATCTATCCATGTCCATTCATAAAGAACTTAATTCTTTCTTGTAGCTGCGTAGTATCCTGTGGTATGGTTGTGCCATAATTTATTCTACCAGTCTCTTATTGCTGGTCATTTGGTTGTTTCCAGTCCTTTACTATTAGTAACAATGCTACATGAAATAATTTAGGACTTACAGGTTTGAGAGTAATATTGACAGGGTAAGTTCCAATTTTGTGGAATTGCTGTGTTAATGGAATATGCATTTGAATTTAATGGATCCTGCCAAATTGTCTCCTAAAAATTTTGTACTAATATATACTCCCATTTGTGGGTATTTGTTTTCCCATATTTTTGCCAATAGCATATATTTTCACCTTTTAGTATATGTGCTGCCGAAGAGAGCACTATATTTTCAAACTTTTAGAAATTTTACTAAACTGATATATTAAAAATGGTAATTTAGTGTAGCTTTGATTTTCTTTTATCAGTAAGATTGAGTACCTTTCATACATTTGAACCAATTGTATTCAGTTTTCTATTAATTCTCTTGTTATCTTTCACCCATTTTTCTATTGAGTCAGTAGACTTTTTCTTACGGATTGGGAGAAGTTATTTCTATATTAAAGAGATTAATCCTTTGTAATGTGAATTGCAGATATATATCCCAGAACATCATTTGGCTCCTGATTTAGTTTATGCTGTATTTTACTATATATAAGCCTTTGATTTTTGTGACTAGGTTTATTAATCATAATCATAATAGGAAGATCTTCTAGGTTACAAAAATAACCCTTTCTTATATTTTCTTTCAGTACTTTTATTGTTTAACTAGAGGCCCAGTGCACGAAATTCATGCACTGCTGGGGGTAGGGGGCAGTCCCCTCAGCCCAGCCTGTGCCCTCTCGCAGTCCAGGACCCCTTGGGGATATCCACCTGCCAACTTAGAATTGATCCCCCCAGGGATCGGGTCTAAGCCGGCAGTCAGACATCCCTCTCACAGTCTGGGACTCTCACAGTTCAGGACCCCTTGCTCCTTACAGCCCACCTGCAACAGAGATGGGAGAGGCTCCTGCCACCACCACTGTGCTCATCAGTCATGAGCCCAGCTTCTGGCTGAGTGGTGCTCCCCCTGTGGGAGCACACTGACCACCAGGGGGCAGCTCCTGCATTGAGCAGCTGCCTCCTGGTGGTCAGTGCATGTCATAGTGACCAGTCATTCTGCCAGTTGTTCCACCGTTCAGTTGATTTGCATATTAGAGTTTTATTATATAGGATATTTTACATTTAAATCTTTGACATATTTTATCCAAGTGTGTGTTGGATGTATAGAGCCAACTTTTTTTTCCTACATGGCTATCCAGTTTTTCCTACCAATTTGAATTGTCATCCTTATCATATATATTCAGCCCTATCTGTTTTGTGATCTAATTCTGTACTCTCCATTCTCTTCCATTGGTCTTCTGCCCACTCTTAGGCCAGGGCCACACATTTTTAATTACTGTGGCTTTAAAGTATGTTTTAATATCTGATGAGTCTTGTTCTCTCTCATCTCTTCTTTTGAATGCAGAGTTTTCCTGACTCGTCTACTTTTTCTTTATGAACTTTAGAATTATTTTTTTCAGTTGCAGGGAACTGAACCATTTTTTTTTTTTGAGGTTGGTTTACATTTTAATAAATTAGTGTAATGACATTTTTAGAATGGGTTCCTGTCTAAGAACATAGTATGTCTTTTCATTTGTCCTAGTCTTTACTTTTATAATTCAGGAAGTTTTAATTTTTGTTTTGTTCACATCTATTAAGTTCTGTCTTGTTTTACCAACCAGTGTATAATGTTACTAGAGGCCTGGTGCACAAAATTCGTGCACGTGGGGGGGGGCGTCCCTCAGACCGGCCTGTGCCCTCTTGCAATCCGGGAGCCCTCGGGGGACATCTGACTGATGGCTTAGGGGGGAGCAGGCCTAAGCCGTCAGTCGGACATCCTTAGCACTGCCGCTGGGAGAGGCTCCCGCCACCGCTGCTGCGCTCTGCCAGCTTTGAGCCCTGCTTGTGGCTGAGTGGCGCTCCCCCTGTAGGAGCGCACTGATCACCAGGGGGCAGCTCCTGCATTGAGTGTCTGCCCCCTGGTGGTCAGTGCACATCATAGTGACCAGTCGATTTGCATATTAGCCTTGTATTATATAGGATTTCCCATGTAAATCTGCCTTTAGGGAAAGGATATGCTGAAATCATGCAAAGAGTATTTTTTGAGCGTCAGTTTAGTTCTCACTGTAAATTAAAATTATTCTGAGTGAGCAGTTAATGTGATTCACATTGAGAGATGGATCTACGCTTCAGACCAGTGAGTCAGGTTTTAGAGCCTGTGAGGCTGAGAGCCAGACATTAGACCTTGGAAAATTCACCCTTGTGAATACAGCTTCATCGTGTATATTGCCCAGTGGGTGGCCTCTTGGTAGATGGCCAGATGACCTCTCCTTGTAACACTGCAACAGTAGCTATGCCTTTATTTTAAAAATCGGTATTTCACTTAGTAAATGTCACTATTTTAAGAAAGCCTATCATGCATAGTAGTTTATACATGAATGGCAGCCTCTTCAGCTGTTACTGATGTTTCTGCAGCTGCTTATGAGTCAAAGAGCCCAATCTGAACACTGATGATATGCTTCGGAAAATTACTATCTTTGGTCAAACCTTTAATGAACATTTTAATTCTTATATATTGCAGAATTTCACAAACTTATTTGGACAGCCACTAGTCTGCTTGCTTTCTCCTACAGCATATCCAAAAGCTTTACAAGGTATGTTCTGTCGTTACCTCTTACATCCATCTGTTACAAGTAAACAATGTCTACATTTTGAATAATACTGATCTTTGTTTTCCCACCTATAATGTGGATTTATGGTGTTTAATGTGGCAGGTGTCAATCTGAAATCAACCCAGAAGTCTTGCCAACTACCAGTCGTCTTTAATGTGCTACCACTAGGCCTATAGACAGTTCTCAAAGAAATAGCAAAACGTTCCTGAGAAAAGGGTGGTTTTGGTCCTTACTTGCGGAGAACTCATGATTTATGAATTTTAAAATGTGTTCTGCAGCTGCTTGTTTGGGTGAGCTTGTCCTCTTCCATCTGGCATGATGTCCTGTATCACCAGCTACACAGTTAGGCATCGTTTAAAACTGTAAGGTTTCTTGTTGAGAAAACTTCTTAGCCTCTGCCTAAGAGTTAGGGTACCCTAACCAGCACTACCTAAAGGGCTTCTTTTATTCACATTTTACCTTGTTGTATTTTTAAAATAAAAGAACCCCTTCTCAGTGTGATGGAGAGATAGTTCAGGGTTCTGGCCGTTTCTCAGATGAAGAGGAAATGAAAGACTTTGACTAATTTGTCCTTAACTGGCAGTCCATGCAGCCTGTTCCAGCGCCCAGTCATTAAGCTGGTAAGATACTCAACAAACCTTGCCGCTGTCTTAGCAGTGCTGTCACCATTTCACTGTCCCCCTGACTGTGAATAGTGCTGCTGTCCCTCTGTGGGAGAGGGCATTTCACTGCTACTTCCCAGCCAGAAGTCTTGTCTGCTGACATAGTTTGACACAGGAAGTGATGGTCAGCATTTGAATGCCTGAGAGAAGCTGGAGACTTTTCACCGTTGTTTCAAGGTAAGTTCTGCTGTTTTACAGGGAAAAACATGTAGAAATGCTAAGCTCCTTCATCCAAAAGTTCAGTTACTAAGGGATAGAACTTACCTCCAAACAACGGTAAACTCTCCTGCTTTGAGAACTCTGTTAGCCTGTTGCTTATCATTTCTGGAGAAGCGTACCCCCTTCCAGTTACTTGAGAGTACTTTTTGCTATCATTTTGTCTTATCAAAAGGCAGCTTTATCCTGGCTGGTGGGTGTAGCTCAGCGGTTGAGCATTGACCCAGGAACCAAGAGGTCACCGGTTTGATTCTGGGTCAGGGCACATGCCCAGGTTGCAGGCTCAATCCCCAGTAGGGGGCGAGTAGGAGGCAGCTGATCCATAATGTTACTATCTCTCTATCCCTCTCCTTTCCCTCTCTCTAAAATTCAATAATAACATGAGTTGTTTTTTTAAAAAGAGGCAGCTTTAGTTTAAATTGCATGGTCTAATGCAGTGGTCGACAAACCACGGCTCGCGAGCCACATGCGGTTCTTTGGCCCCTTGAGTGTGGCTCTTCCACAAAATACCACGTGCGGGCGCGCACGTACAGTGCGATTGAAGCTTTATGGCCCATGTGCAGAAGTCGATTTTCGGCCTGGGTGAAACAAGTATACAAGACAAGTGTGGATGGGAGAGTTGGAAGGGGTCGACCTCAGTGAACATACCTCAATCAGATTGAGGACGTTTTTAGCAAAGGCCAGCTTAGGAGTACCCTAATTAAGTTAATAACAATGTACTTACCTATATAGTTTAAGTTTAAAAAATTTGGCTCTCAAAAGAAATTTCAATCGTTGTACTGTTGATATTTGGCTCTGTTGACTAATGAGTTGTCCGACCACTGGTCTAATGGGTTAATGGTAAGATTATTTGGTCTGAAGGCTTTATTATGTACTAGTATAGGGTAAAAACCAGGTGCTGGAAGCAAACTGATTGAATTTGAATCCCAACTCAGCCACTTACTAGCTGTGTGATCTTGGGAGGTTCCTTAGCCATCCTGTGCCTCAGTTTATTTCCTATCAAATGGAGATAATAGCATCAGCCTCATAAAATAATTCAGAGTATATAAAAAGTATTCAGTATGTGCCAACTGTCGTTATTACTAATACGCTTGGTTGTAATATATGTCCTTGATATTTTTTAGTCCAGTATCATCTTTTGTGCTATAAAGCTTAGGCCTCTAATCCCTAAATATGCCCCCTCTGGACACAAACTAGTCGATACCTAAGTATTTGAAATCTCAAATTAGGTTCCTGCACCTCTGGTAGCTAAAGTTTACACAGTGTTGTTGTTTTTTTCTCTTTTTTTTCTTTATTGATTAAGGTATTACATATGTGTCCTTATCCCCCCATTACCTCTCCCTCCTCACCCCCCATCATGCCCTCACCCCCCTGGTGTCTGTGTCCATTGGTTAGGCTTATATGCATACAGTGTTTTCTTTATCCAAGAGTTATTTCATACATTCAACAAGCATTTATTCAACGTTTATGTATCAGGTACAGTGCTAGGCATTGGAGGTGACGCTCGGACCAGACAAACAGAGTCAGTTTCTCACAGAACCAGTTGTCTAGTAGAAGATACAGACAACCTGACAGTCACTGTCGATGCTGTTAGTGTCTCATAGGAGGAAGCCTGTGCAACACTTGAGGAACTCCTAACCTGCCTTTGAGACGGAAGAAAGTGCATGAGATGATGTCTGAAGTGGAGTTGAAGGATGCGTAGAATTAAATGAGCATGGGAAATGGTTGAAAATTGGTATTCTAGCAGAGAAATAGCATGTGAGCCCTGAGATAAGAGCTCTGAGATGAGAGAGTTTATGGAACATGTAGATAAATTAAAAGTAGTTTCTGCTAATTAAAGGGCAGAGTATGTGATTGTGGGACTGAATTATGAAAAACCTTTTATGATTCAAATAAAGGATAGTGGGGTGCCATTGAAAGATTTTAAACGGCAATAAAATAAAAAGGCATTCAGTTTACCTTATGTAAGGTGAATTGGACAGGAGCATTGACGGAAATAAAGAGATCGTGGTGGCTGAGCTAGGACAGTGACTGGTTACCTGGCTTCAAAAGGTGCCAACCCAGAGAACCAGCAGGACATGGTGATGGTGAGGAAATGAGGGAGAGGAAGAGGCAGAATGGACTTCAGGTTTCTGGCTGAGATGCTGGCAGAAATAATGATACTAAATAACAAGTAGATTTATAAGAGAACCAAAAGGGGGGGAAATTGTTGTCAACTTTTGACATGTTGAGTTTGAAGTTACCTTTGAGAGTTAGGTTGATTATAGAGGTCTAGGGCAGTTCTGTCCAATAGAAATATTATGGGAGTCGCCTGTGTAGTTTTAAGTTTTCTAGTAGCTACTTTTTTTAAAAAAAAAGTAGAAAGAAACGGGTGAAATGAATGTTAATAATGTCTTTTTGTACTGATGCTTTGAAATTCTATGTATAGGATATATTTTACACTCTGTAGTGTGTCTGTTTGGATCAGTCACATATTTAATGTGTCTAGCATCTACTGCAAGGCAGCACAGTTCTAGAACTAAGGAGCTCAATCTAGGCTGCAAATGGAGAACTGGGAATCAGTAGGCATATAAATGATAACCAAGATTATAAGAGGTGAGCTCAGCAATGTATCAGGCCAAAGAAAAAAAAGATTGATATTTAAGGGATAGGTGGAGATAGAATAACTCACAAGAGTGAAAAGGACTGGCAGTCCTAAAACTCATCAGAGAATTCTGTCATGAACTGCCTGTGATCCAGTCCTTGCCATATTTGGGTAAAATTTGTTAGTTGGAGGGAAAAAGGCAAAGAAATATGTTCATGTCCTATTTCTCTTTAGTTTACTAGGCTCTAAAGTTAGTTCAGCAAGAAAGCAATATGCCTGGGACATGTTTTGTAGTTCCCTGCAGAATCTACTTTGTTGAATTAAGACTTAATGATATAGCTTTAATTTTATACATTATCAGTATATTAAAATGTTCCTCAAATGCACCTCTTACCTTTTGCAAAACTGTTTTCTATATAAATACATAAAACATGTTTGTTATTGCAGATCAATCTCAACGAGGTAGCCTCTTCACGCTCTTTTTGAACAATCCTCTAATGGCCTTCCTATTTGTCTCTGGATTGTCAAGCATGCGCAGAAGCCTGTGGGAAAAGTGTCAAGAATACCTTCGAAAAATCAACCGCGATATTGCCCAGCTACTGACCCATTCACGTTCAATAGGTACCCTACTAACCTAACTGCACACGTGACAGAACGTACTGTAAAATTGTTTGAATTTTTAGAGGTATTTGTTGAAGGCTGGAAAGTTGAGAATGTTTTCCTGAACTTGCCTTCCCCTTGGAAATGTATTTTCCCTTTAAGCGTCTTTTTACTGCCCCTTTCTCCTCTTTGCAGATCAGGCATTCCTCCAGTTTTTTGGAGATGAATTTCTTCGCTTGCTTCTCACAAGATTTGTCTTTTGTTCAGCCACCATGAGGATGCACAAGATTTTTCGGGTAAGCAAAGAATATTTTAATGACCAATCTTACCATTTTAGCTATTTAACCATCATGTATTATATTTTACCTGTATTAAATAGAGTTTGGATAGATCCAAAATCATATTCACAAATTAATATGTAAAGTATTAAAGATGGACAAAATAAGCAACATCTGAGTACCCACCACCCAATTTAAGAAGTAGAACATTTTCATTACCTTTGAGGTCCCTTGTAGGTCCTCCCTAATCCTATCTTCCTCTCAAATGAAGCTAAAATCCTGATTTTTATAATTATCATTCACTTCCCTTTAAAGTTTTGCCACATGTATTTGTATTCCTACACAACATATTGATGGACCCATATTTTATGTATTCTACAACTTGCTTTTTTTCACTCTTTATTATAGTCCTGAGATTCAGGCATGATGATGACTGACTATTGCTTTTATTCATTTGTTTTCACTGTTATATAGGATTTTATGGTTTGACAAATATAGCTCAAATTACTCATCTTACTGATAATGGACATTTGGGTTATTTCCAGTTTTTAAATATTACAAACAATGTCCTTGTGAAATCTTCAATAATTTTCCTGGTGTGTGTGTGTGTGTGTGTGTGTGTGTGTGTGTGTATATATATATATATATATGACTTTTTCTGAGGAATACATAATAGTGGAACGTGAGGTCAGACGGTTTAGGTATATTCAACTTTACTAGGTAGTGCCAAACATGTTGTAAAGTGGTTGTATCAGTTTACACGGTACTAGCAGTGTGTAAGAGTTGCAATTGCTCTAATCCTTGTCAACATTTGTTGCAGTCATACTTTATAGTCCATGTGAAGCAGGGGGTGTAACATAGTAGTAGCTCGCTGTGGTTTTAATTTGCATTTCTGGAATTACTGTGGAGGCTCAGCAACTTTTCGCGTGCTACTCTGTGTTCTTCGTGATGAAGAGTGTGTTCACGTCTTTTGTCTGCTTGGTTCTAAGTAGTTGTTTTTCCTGTGTATTCAGGTAACTGTGAGGCACTGTTCATTGAGGTTTTTAAATCTTTAGCTATTATACTTTTCATTTCTCTCAGTATGTTTGTTTTCATTGTGCTCTTGAATGTGTATGTAATAGGTAAAGTCCTTATCTGCTAACACTATCTCTATCATTTATAGTTTTATTTTTCTTGTTTTTCCTACTGGTTATGGGTCTCATATTCTAATTTGTATGCCTAGTAATTTCCTTAAACTGTGGGCACTGTGAATTTTATGATGTCGAATGCTGGATTTTGTTGTCTTTCTATAAAGAGTGTTAGAAAGAAAAAAGAAGAATGCTAGACTTTGTTCTGGCAGGAGTGAACTTATTTGCAAATTTGTTTGACCTTTTCACAGCTTGTTTTTTAAACTTATTAAGGTGGATTTAGAGTAGTGTTACCAGATAGTTAGAAACTTATTTCAGTCTAAAACTAAGAAGTGTGATTCTTTGGGGGTCTCTTTCATATGTTCCGTTTCTTTTCTTTTTTAAAAAAAAATATATTTTATTGATTTTTTTACAGAGAGGAAGGGAGAGGGATAGAGAGTTAGAAACATCGATGAGGGAGAAACATCGATCAGCTGCCTTCTGCACATCCCCTGTTGGGGATGTGCCCGCAACCAAGGTACATGCCCCTGACCAGAATTGAACCCGGGACCCTTGAGTCCGCAGGCCGACGCTCTATCCACTGAGCCAAACCGGCCAGGGCCATATCTTCCATTTCAACAGATACTCTCCACTCCAGGGAATGCTTGCTCAGAACTCAAACATCTCCCATCCCTGTGTGAGCTGAGAGAATTATTGAGCTTACAGTAGTCCCCCAAGTAGTTCTTGGGGTTTTGTTGTTGTTTTTAGGGGTTTTGAACATTTTATCTTTATCACACATAATAATTAGTATAGTAAAACAGAAATTTGGTCTTTGTAATGTGTAATGAGTGAGGCTTGTAGGAATAAGAGAAATAAAAATGACATTTGAATATACGACATGTCCTGTGAGATGTGTAGAAAAGTAGCAACTTCCTCAGAAAATTTTAAATGTGTGGCAGAATTATGGTCTATAGAAATTACCAAATGAAGACAAAATTCCCAATGAGAATTACCTGATTCTTGAAATCGTCTTCTTTTGCTTTCATGTAATTACAGAATTATTATTTTCTTTTTTATTATTTTTTTCTGTTCTTTATTTTTTCTGCTTTCATCTCCCTTTTCAGGAACTCTTTCTTTTTTACTCTTTGTTAGTGTTCTTAGACATCTCATGTGTTTTTATGGCTACAGCATCTCTCTCCATGCAGGTTACATCAGTGTTTACAGATACTGCTCACGCTTGTCTTCTAAAATACAGCCCTGAATTTTCAGATTCTGGTTGAGAAGCAGTTCTGTTTTTACTGCCCTGTTACCACAAATAAAAAGTACCTAAAACCTGAAACTTTCTTTTCTTTTCTTTTTTTTTAATTAAATCTTTATTGTTCAGATTATTACATTTGTTCCTCTTTTTTCCCCCCCATAACTCCCCTCTTCCCAGTTCCCGCCCCACCCTCCGCCCTCACTCCCCACCCACTGCCCTCATCCATTGGTGCACGATTTTTGTCCAGTCTCTTCCCGAATCTCCCACACCCCTTTCCCCCAGGAATAGTCAGTCCATTCCCTTTCTATGTCCCTGATTCTATTGTAATCAACAGTTCATTCTGTTCATCAGATTATTTATTCACTTGATTCTTAGATTCACTTGTTGATAGATGCATATTTGTTGTTCATAATTTGTATCTTTACCTTTTTCTTCCTCTTCCTCTTCTTAAAGGATACCTTTCAGCATTTCATATAATCCTGGTTTGGTGGTGATGAACTCCTTTAGCTTTTCCTTATCTGTGAAGCTCTTTATCTGACCTTCAATTCTGAATGATAGCTTTGCTGGATAAAGTAATCTTGGTTGTAGGTTCTTGGAATTCATCACTTTGAATATTTCTTGCCACTCCCTTCTGGCCTGCAAAGTTTCTGTTGAGAAATCAGCTGACAGTCGTATGGGTATTCCCTTGTAGGTAACTGAGTTTCTTTCTCTTGCTGTTTTTAAGATTCTCTCTTTATCTTTTGCTCTTGGCATTTTAATTATGATGTGTCTTGGTGTGGTCCTCTTTGGATTCCTTTTGTTTGGGGTTCTCCGCGCTTCTTGGACCTGTAAGTCCATTTCTTTCACCAGGTGGGGGAAGTTTTCTGTCATTATTTCTTCAAATAGGTTTTCAATATCTTGCTCTCTCTCATCTTCTGGCACCCCTATAATTCTGATGTTGGTACGCTTGAAGCTGTCCCAGAGGCTCCTTACACTATCCTCGCATTTTTGGATTCTTTTTTCATTTTGCTTTTCCGGTTGGGTGTTTTTTGCTTCCTCGCATTTCAAATCATTGACTTGATTCTTGCGCTCCTCTGGTCTGCTGTCGGGAGTCTGTATAATATTCGTTATTTCAGTCCGTGTATGCTTAATTTCTAGTTGGTTCCCCAATATAAGATCGAGGGTCTTATTAGTTTTCTTGTAGATCTCATTAAGTTTATCGGCGGCTTCTAAACAGTTCTTGAGAGACCTTAAAAGTGTGGTTCTGAACTCTATATCTTCCATTGACAATTTTGTCCTGTTTCTTTGTCTCCGCATTTTGTTATGCTTCCTTGGTGCACCCCCTAGTGGTCTTGGTTCGCAGTCTTATAGTTAAATCTTGATTGTTGTAGCTAATTCCAGGGAGGGTTTGACCTCCAGGCCAAGTGGCTATGAGAATCAGCTGTGTCAGCAGTGAGAGAACTTCTGTCCTCTAGGGAGGTGCTAATCTGGCGTTTGCCTGAGGCTATCCGGCAAATGCCTGTGTGCAGGGCTTGGGCGGGGCGGGTGGCACAGGATCAACAGGGTGGGCCGGAGAGAGCAGTTATGGCGGCTCTCAGTCCTGTCCCCAGGGGCTCTGCCTCTCTGAGTCCCAGCACCCGCTGCAAAGCTCAGAGAGAAAGCTGCACTCACTCTGACCGAAGCCAGACAGTCCCGCTTCTCCCGTTTGAGTCTGGGTCCCTAAAGACTCGCCCGGATCTGGAGCTCAGAGTCTGCGACTCCCTCCCGATTGAAAACGCCAACCGCGCCCTCCGCCGCCAGCCCGCTCCGTGCACTCCGCACCTCAGAATTTGACTTCAGCACTGCGCCTCCTCTGAGTGTCCGTATGCGTTTCTCTTTCCTCCTAGTTGTAGGACTTCCACTCAGCCAGCGTTCCTGTGGTTCTGGGTGCTGTCCCTTCCGTTTTTTGGTTTCACCTTTGAAGTAGTTGTTCAGAGCAGCAAACTCCGGCGTTAACCTATGCCGCCATCTTGGTTCTCCCCTGAAACTTTCTATTATCTCCAAATCATCTTCTCTTTTACTTCTCTTTCTCTCAGTTGTTCCCAACCCTCCTCTCAAGTCCTGAAATCTTAGTCATTTTGACACCTCCCTCTCCTGTAGTTAATTTCAAAGGCTCATTAATTTGACCTTCTCAGTACTTCTCATGGTTTTTCTCTCATTTTAATTTCTGCCACAAATCTTCTTATTCATTTAGTTAAGACATACTTGTTGAAATATGCTAGGATTTCTCCCCTAACAAATAGCAATTGTATGGTTTCCACAGTTTCCACATTTCCCAGAAATGATCAGCCCCAGTAAATATTTGCGAATTAACTCACAAAATTAATAGATTAAGTTGAACCATATGAAGTTATCATTTTTTTTAAGATCAAAGTGGTCACATGTCAGCAATTTTATATGTTCAAAAAATGTTACCAATAAGAATCATACCAGTATGGAAGAAAAATACATACTGTTACTCCTTAATATTATTAATGCTAACAATAATGTTAATGTTTATAATTTTCTTTCATTAAACTATAAAACTTGACTTTTCTCTGCCTGTTAGGAAACACGGAATTACCCAGAATCATATCCACAACTGCCAAGGGATGAAACGGTGGAGAACCCTCATCTCCAGAAGCACATTTTGGAATTGGCATCCATTCTGGATGTTCGAAACGTGTTCTTTGAAAATACCTTGGATGACTATTAAAACAAAAACCCTCTTGTCGAAACACTTTCATTTGCCACAGATTTTAAATGGTGCCATTTTCTAATGTGATGACAGACACATAGTGGTGTTACTTCGTTTTTATTTTTTAATTTAGGACCGCCATTTTAAAAACAAACCTAAAACATTGTTCAAACGTTTAGGGTGGCTGTTTTAAAATACAATCTTTCAGGTCTTTTAAAAACTAGCTTAATTTGGGGATTTTTATTTTTTTGGTTTTGAGGTATGGATATTTGCCTCCAGCATCTCACCCTACCCTCAAATATTCACTGTTCTCACTCTTCAAAGAGCAAATTATTTATTTTTGTATAATGAGGAAAATCCAACTCTTAAACTTGGACCTTACAGTGTAATTGTTCACAGAGATGAAACTAGCCAGCATGGACTACTAAAAATCTAGAACAGAGTCCTGCCATAATATTTCTTTTCATTCCAAGTTAGTAGGTAGAAACTGTATGAAGAGTATAATCGAGACAGTTCTTGAAATCATTTAACTTGGTTAAATACTGTCATAATTTCTAAAACTATATGAGATTGATTTGCGCCTGAAAGCTAAAGCTTTAATTGGGATCTTGAGAATGATGAATATCATCTGGAGTGTGTGAATCCTGTCCTGTGAGATATGTTTGCATATTTTGTTTTCTTCGTTAGACTTTGAGTGCTGGAAATGTAAAAGAACAACTTTTAAATATTTCACTTAAAAATCAGATTGTCAGCTTTTTAATACAGTATTTCCAGTAGGAATTCTATTTAAATTCTTCATTCATACGGTCAGGTTTAAAGACTGTCTAGATTGAAGTCCATGGCGTACAGTATAGAGTTTATAATCTTTTTGCAGAGTTAAAGTTTGTGAGACTTCAGAGTCAGAGATGGTATTAATTTTAGTTGCGGGCAACTGAGTTGTTATGTAACCTAAGGTGGAAGTTGTTTTGCATTGACAATTTGGCAATAAGATGTTTTTTAAAACTTCTTGTACTTAATATTTTATATTCACGCACAAGTTTTTTATTATTTTAAATAGGACTCAGTGTATAATATAAAGATTTTTGTGTTCTTTTCCCTATCATCCCCTTCATAATTTCACAGGTACTAACTATGACATTTGCCTCCCTCCCCCTGCCCTTTTGACTCCACTCAGAAAGTTATGAATCAAAGTCCTTCTACTTAATTTTCTATATACAGGCTCACATTCTACCTCTGGCAGGCAGTCCTAGGGGAAATGAGGTGATTGCTTTTGGTGCCTCTTTCCTATGTCCCTCGGGAAATTTTATCGTTATATATTTTTAACTTTGTTTTCATAGAGAATTTCTTGGGTCTGAGTTATTCATATACTTGTTCTAATTTGCTGATATTATATCTGATATCTTGAAGTTATTGTTCTTGGTTTTGGGGGACTTTGTGGTGTTTTATTAATTAAAAAAATTTTTTTTATTGATTTCAGAGAGGAAGGGAGAGAGAGATAGGAACATGAATGATGAGAAAGAATCATTGATTGGCTGCCTCCTGGATGCCCCTCACGGGGGATCCAGCCCACAACCCAGGCACATGCTCTGACTGGGAATCAAACCACAACCTCCTGGTTCATAGGTTGACGCTCAACCACCGAGCCACACCTGTTTCATTAATTTTTAATTATTTTTGTTTGTTCTTTTAAACATATTTCAGAAAGCTTTGGAAAAGATATTCTGGATAGAGATTACCTTTGCTAGTGGGTTGTTTTCCATTATCAGATAAAGACCACTTTCTGTTTTTCTCAGCCCCTTAATAAACTTCATAGCTTTCGTGTCGCCAAGGTTTTCACTTAGACTCCAGCAATAGACTGGCCTAGTTGTCCGACCTCTTGTTTTCAATTCTCCCAAAGTTCTGTGCCAGTAACATTCCTAACACATATATTCCTGTTCTCTGATGCTTAAAATGGTATTGTACATCCTGAGCTTTATCCTCACCTGTTTAGCATAAAGAACACTGGTCTGAGAACTAGGAGTCCTGAGTTCTAATCCCACTTTCCCGATAACTAGCTGTATGCCCTTAATAGGTGTCTTCATGTCGCTGCTTTTTAGCATTCTCATCTGTAAAATGAAGGCATTAGCCCTAGATCCTGTCCAACTCATTGGTTCTATAATTTGAATTCTTGGTTCCAAAAGATACTGATTTCTCCACCCCGTCACCTGGAAAACTAGTTTTCCTGATTTTAGTGTACACAACATTTTCTTTTCAAGATCATATTTAACTAGTTTTTATTCAAGAAAATATCTTAGCTGTTGTAGAAACTAGTTCAGAGAGAGAATCTGAAATATTAGAGGTTTTGTGATTAGAAATCACAACTAGGGTTTAGATGATGACATTGGCTTCTTAAGCTAATAGTAGTGTAATTCCTTACTGGTAGTTAAAAATTTAAAGCGAACCAAAGTGATCTTGAGAGGAAAACTGCTAGGAAAGGCTAAGCTATTGTTTCATTCAGGCCTTCAAAAAAAAAAAGTGTATTGAACAACTGTACTCCAGATTTTATTCCAGGCACTGGAGAACCAAATAAAGTAGACTTAAAAATTCTGGTCTTCATGAAGCTTCATTCTAGTAGGAAGAGTCAGGCAATACATACAATAATTAAGTAAATTTATATTAGAAAGTTATAAGTAGCGTGAAGAAGAATCAGGGCATGGTAAGGAAGTTTTTCCGTTTGTTTTGTGGCAAAGAGCAATGTAGAAATGAGTGATCAGGGTAGGCCTTACTGAGATTACATTTGTGCAAACAATTCATATTTATCTTTTCTCTCTGTGTGTATGGTTTTGCTTTTTATTGTGGAAGTTTTACATATAAACAGAGTTTAATGAACCCTCTTGTACCCACTACCAAGCTTCTACATTTTAAAAAATATATTTCTATTGATTTTACAGAGGAAGGAAGAGAGAGAGAGAGAGAGAGAGAGAGAGAGAGAGAGAGAGAGAGAAACAGCAATGATGAGAGAAAATCATTGTTTGGCTGCCTTGTGCCCTGACCAAGAATAGAACCAAGACCTCCTGGTTCATAGGTTGATGCTCAACCACTGAGCCATGCCAGCAAGGCCAGCTTCTACATTTTAAGGTGTTACTTTAATTAAGAAAGAAGCAGCGTAAAAGGACAATCGCCCCAGTGGGCTCTAGATGGCAGTGGCCAAGAATCAGTGCAAACTGCCCCCCTTTATAAATATAAAAATAGCAAGCTTTTTATTTATTTATTTTTAGAATTCATAGAAACTAAAATATTGGAACTAAGAACAAAGCAAAGCAATAGGAAAGGGCACTTTTTTGTTTTCCAATTGCACAAACCCCCCCCCCCCCCCTGGAGATTCTGATAGACTCTCACCTCTCGTAAAAATTACCGTAAACAAAATAGAAAGTGTAAGACTGCAAAAAGTCTGTTATACACAAAACAAAAATAAGCACAATGGAATTATTTTCTCTTTCTTTTCCCATATATTTCTGAAGTTGATAGAGCACTTATCTTCCCTATTTTACAGAAGAGAAATCTAAGGTACTCCCCCCATCCACCCCCAAAAAATTGTCAATTTATTCACAGTGATAGTGTTAGAACTCAAATCTCCTATTCTCAGCCCAGTCTTTCCTAGTCGCTCAGGTTTTCTATAATGAACAAGAAAGAAATAAGAGATTTATATTTTGGCACAAAGGTTATGGTATTTTTAATATCAAATATTAAAACCAGTAAATGAGTCAGCCCTAGCAAATTTTTATTTATTAATTATAACTTATAGTCCATAAGTTAGACATTTTGTCTTTGATTTTAGCCTATGTGTGTGTGTGTGTGTGTGTGTGTGTGTGTGTATCTGTGTTTTCTTCTTAGGAAGTGGTGCTCTCAAAACCTCTCAAAGCACATAGAATTTATTGTACTCTTTATATTTTTACCGAGTTGAAATGTTTTGAGATTATAAAAGCAAAGTGCAATCTAGTTATGACTGAAATTTTTTTAATCTAGGATCTGGATTTTATTTTTCTTCACTTGTGGCTTCTGCCCTTCTTTTTGCTCTTGTAATAGAATTTCCTGAAAGTGATTAGGTGTATTAGATGGTAATTGAACTGAATTTCATTGAGGTAAAGGGAAAATCAACAAATACGCTTTTTTGTATATCAGTTATGGATCTTTCTGTAGCATTCCTCTTTAAGTTTAATCTCTGATCTTTGTGACTTAGCAACTTTCTGTTTCTTAGAAGGGCTTTGGACTCAGTTGAAAAATCTTGTACTTAGTTATCCATGGAGACTTATAATCAGCCTGATACACAGAGAACATTCTTGACTGGAAATACAGTAAGGTATGAAGGTCTGCAAACTTGGCTTCTGCCAGTGATTCAGAACCACCTCCCCACCCTAAGTGAGTAAAAGATTTGATTTTAATATCAATGGTATGAGTCTCCTGGTGATATTTTGGGTGTATATATGTTCCTGTGTGTGTGTTTGGAGAGTGTAAAGTGTATTTACATTGAGGGCTCTTTTGTTGACTTTATTTATTTGAAATTCTTATTTGTAATGGCATGTGTATATTTTTATGATGCTAAATGCAATCTGTGTATACTTTTTGTATATATGTACATATTTGTAAATATATTGGTATGCAATGATATAGTATGTGTATATTATATACCCATATCCATTGTGGGCTAAATTTATTTAAGTTCTGTGAGGACATCATAGTGGCATTGTTCATGCTGCTATAATTAGGTTGTGGCTGTATCTCATTCATGAGCCTCTATTTTGAGGGGCTTGTGTTTGGATATAATGGGTTAATTTGGAGTTGAAATTAGGATACAAAGATCTTTAACAGAAAGCTGGATACTCTTAGCTTTAAAATCATCTGCCAATTTTCATTTAAACTGATGATAAATTAGTGACATAAACCTGAAAAACCTAAGTATGTGAAACTGAGATACCAACAGGTTCTTAAGCTATATTAGTCCTTTATTTTCTTGATCCATAGTTGAGTATTACTGAGTACTAAAGTATTTATACTAAGAATCAAGGGGCTGTGGAAAAAATTGATCACATTTCAAAGTAGAGAGGAAAATGTCCTTTAAATAGGGAATATGTTCCTAGTTTCCATTTTAATACCTGATATTGAATTTTAATTTTGGAACAATTTTTTTTCACTGATATGTCTCATTTTATGTCTCCGTGAGGCAGAAAAGAGGGCATTAGCTAGGGGAAGGCTTTACTTAGGTGGGGTGGAATTTATTTCGAAAAGGAGGTTGTTAATCTGTGTATTTACAGCAGCTGTGATCACTTTTGTCCTGTCGTGGCATTACTGACTATGGATATTTCTTACTGGGGCTGCATATCAAAGATGAGTGTGTTCATCTGAGAAAATGCTTCCCGTGAATACAGTGCCTCCAGCTGTATCTCTTTGTCTCTGTGAGACCACTTGTGTTCTGTAGATTGATGATGTATGTTCACACATGAGGGTAGGATTCTTAATATGAGGCGCGTGGTGTGCTCTAAGATCTGGGCCTTCAAACCTCTACCAAAGATGACAGGTGGGGGAGATAAGAGGATAGTGATTATGTATGGTGCTACTTTGTGAACCTATGAAATATCACAGAATACCAATGTTCAGTTACTCCTGTCTTCACTGGGCATGTTTATTTGCATGGAAGCAGGTAAAAGATGTTTAATATACACTTGAATACAGTCACCACAGAAATTAGAGGGGGTTTTTTCCTCATGATTAAATGAACTGCAAAACAACTGTTCACCCCATTTTTCTTCAGAGGATTAAATCTATCTGATCCAACATTAAATTATCTTAAAGAGAGAAGTTAGAGTCAGGAGTCAGTTTTACCACCCTCAAAATACTACATTTGCCTCTCCATCAGTAGGTGAGAATGACATTGTGAATATGACCTCTGACTCTAACAGCTGTAAAGCCAGTTATTTGTCAGGTATGTAAGGTAAGAATTGCATAGAAAACCAAGCCTTTCCTCCCCCCTCACCTCCCCCACCCCCCGTCTCCTGTACTCTTAGGCGTTGATACTTCCTACCTATTTTTCCTAGAGCTCCTCTTCTTTCCTCTTCTTTACTTTAAAAAAACAACAACACACACACAACTTTTTTAAAAGGCAATTCGTCTTCCTCACTCTAGAATTTCAAAACAATGTTACACGATGTCCCAGCTTCACTGAGTTTTTGAACACAGACTTCTTAAGCCTGCCTTCTGTTGAAGGAAAAAATAATTGATGTGTGAATGGAATCCATCACCTGTTGAAAGAAGGGATGTCAGAAAGATGATGTAGGGAGCATGCCCTTAATTGGGGAATGATAAATGTATTAATATAACTTTGTTGGTGCCATAGAAATATTTTCATCTGTAGATAGAAAATGTTCTCTTAAGCCAAAATCGGTATTTTTCATTTATTTGTGTAATACTGACTTTGGAGAAGAATTTCATTTCTGTATTAACAGTTTCTTTTTTTTTTTTTTTTTTTAATATATTTTATTGATTTTTTACAGAGAGGAAGGGAG